TCTTCTGCTTCCAGTTTAAAAATGAAAATCCAATTCATTTTCTTTACAGATTGATTTTATTTTGATGATATGTTCATAATCTGTAATCTTCAGTCCTTTTTTGTATGATTCTATTGCTGTGTGTCTGTTTATAATCAATAATCTTTGTGTGAATATAAACGTCAATTTTGTTTCATAAATTTATGAAATAAAAAATTTTGAGAATCATGTAATGTTCTTGTCTGTTTTTGAATTAATTTTATTTGGAATCAATTTCAAAAAAATTGATGATGCAAACACTTTCTTTTGAAGGTTGTTATTTGAATGTGAAATTTTGGAAAGGAAAAAATCTTAGATTTATAAATATTCTGTAGAGCTTCGAACAGAGAATCCAATAATAATAAAAAATGAAAAAGTTTTTTAAATATGATTTTTATTTATTATCGATGTATCGGAACTAAGTCGACATCTGTCAAGTAACATAATCTTGAGAAGATTTAAACAAACCAAAAACAATATACTCAAAAAAATAAAAATTGTGTTTTTTAATAATATTAATTAAATTATGAAAGATGGAAAATTATATTTTTTATACTAAAAATAAAAAAAAGCATAAATGTCGAGTTTGTCATGTGAGACAAGAATTTTTATTTTTTCGATTTTATAGGAGTACGATCTTGTGATAGACTAATTATAGTAGCATTAAAAATATGTATAATATTTAAAAAAAAATAATGTATATAAAGTCATACTTCAAATATGACATGATCGGTTTGTCATTGTAATTAGCATTTAGAAATGAACCTTCGTTAGAGAAATGAAGTAATTGCTGACTAATAAATTCTTTTATATTTGTTTACACAGTGGATTATGTTAACAAATATTGTTTTCGCAACTTCACTCATCATATAATTGTGTTTAAAGAACATCATGTAATTAAAATTAACATACATTTATTGACTGCTTGTATTTATTTTTACTTTTTTGCTGGCGATATAATCTCATTCTTTGAACAGATGTAATTGCCTAAAATTATTATCCATTTTAATAACTTTATAAGATTTATAGAAACTACGAATATTATGGAAATAATTTCTAATCAATAAACCTACGTTTAGTTCACAGAACAAATGTTTAATTTGTTTTATTATTTTCAAGGAAAAGGGTAAAATATTCTTCTGATTTAAGCATTTTTCGTTAAATCAAGATTAGTACTACGATGTAACTTTAAATTTTTTGCCGATTTCCTTGTTGGCATCGGTACGCATACAACGTCGATACCGGTACGCATACAACGCTGATGCCGTTACGCATACAACGACAGATCTCTATTCACATACACGACGACTAATAGCAATCGAAATGATATCGAGAGCGAATGACGAATCATTGGCAATCGACTCTTATCTTATCGACTCTTATCTGCCGTAACGCACTTCCGTTGCATTCGTACGGATTTACGCCCTAGTCGCGCCTAAAGAAGTTTTACTTCAGAAACAAAAATAAGAATAAAAATATGGAAGATATTTACGTATTATTATTTAGATACGTATATCACTGATAAGAGGAATGAGATCTTATTTATTTGTTAAAAAAAAATGTAGAAGACTTAATTAGGAATTATGTAGAAAGTTGTGATCTAATCTTATGTTAACACTATTGGAAGCGTTTATTAGAATGAAACAACTTCCGCAAATAACCTTCTAAAGGTGCACTTTTCGGGGGGTATAAAATTTTGGGATAGTAATTAAAAGAATGGAAGTTTCCACCGAGTGTTGGAGTTCTCTAATCTCTTATAAGTGCATTAAATTGTATAGTTAAAATTAATCATTATTTACAATCATAGAATTTCATCTACTTCAAACTTGTAATGGATTTTCATTTCCTTTCTTGTTAAAAACCTGACATATGACATTTAAGCAATCGGGATAATTCGACGCTTTTCGCCAACTGTTATTCACTCGGTAACGTCACTATCACCTTTTGTTTTGACACATTTTCAATAAACAAACAATAACTATAATTATAAATATTTGATTATTGAGAAATTAATTAAAATCAAAACGTCTACGGATATGCCTGAGATGCGCCCATGTTTATGGCGACAAAATGTGGTCAGCATAAATTTAAAATTTCTTTTAACTTCTAAGTTAGAGAGAGGATCCCGTATAGTTGCATATGTTAAAGATCAAAGATTAAAAATTCGAATCGTCAAAAGAAATTATGAAAATACAGTGATCCAAGCTAGTTTTATATGCAATCTTTGGAGAAGAATACGGCCCAATCATGTCTATATAGACATAAAATATAAATCAGTAAATATCCATTTGGTAAAAGAAAAGTTAGAATTGTGGCACCGGCTGGGAGATGACACGATGGAAGTTTTCTCCCGGGTAGAATAAAGGAATTGCTAGTTCTCATGATGTCCTCATCTTATGTTATGTTAATTTTTATGTTTTATTAATATCTATTGTCATGTTCAAAATTGTTGAATAAATTGCAGTTTTAAAAAAATGTGAGTGGACGTGTTTTACTGATCATAAGTAGGTAGTCTATTACTATTAATCACTTTTTTATTCATTTTTATGCATTTTTTTAAACTTGTGCTTATGCTTCCTGGTCTTGCGAATCGGATTATAGTTTCCTGTATTTTCTCTTCTCGCGTAAGACATCAATCATCTGCATTCTTCTTCTTCCCAGTCGTGTGGGAGGCATTCTTTTTGCAGAATTGGTCTGAACCAGTTTTGTTTCCTTTTAATAATCGTGCTCAGTAGAGTTCTTTCTATGTCTACTCTTCCAAAAATTGCTTCATTTTTATCTTATCTGATGAGAACCACAGTTCAAAACTCTCCAAATAGTTATCAGTTCGAAACTCTTCAGATAGATTTTGACTATGGGACAAAAAATATTTGGAATATTCGTTGCTATTAAAAATTGAATTTTGTTAATTAATTCAGAGTTTGGCATTAATATTATGGTCAAAGTATTTGCGAGCATCATTATAAGGTTAATAACAAGAATCATGATCTGAATGATGAATTACCTATGACGGTAATTATTTGGTTGGTAACATTGGATTTCTATATTCTATATAATATAGTAATATAATGTTATAAAGTTATATCATTGATTACTTCAGCACTTCTATTCATTTGCCTAAATCGCAATACACTAATAGTGAAGGATTGGTCTAACACTGGATCTAATCTACTAAATTTACTACCATTCATAATAAGATTACATTACTATTAGAAGACTATTGTAACCTATGATTAATTTATAGAGTAATATGTGTTAAATGTCACATTTGCACAATGGCAATCTGTAAATCGTGTTGTACTATGGAGTAATTCATAGAAAGTACATTAATTTAATGCATGCAATGAAGCTAATTTGGTTTATTTATTCCATTGCATAATGGAATAAATAAATGGAATTCGAATGATTACATTTACATACTGCTCGTATTTAAAAATTCACATTTTATTGAAAACTAATGGGTGGTCGAATAGAAACTGTCTCAAAAATAATGAAACATTATCATTAATATTTAACTGAGGACATAATCAATATCGTTTTTTACAAAAACAAATTACTATAGGATACTGCAAAATGCACGACTCTTGATTTAAATTTTCATCTTAAGTCTCGCTTTGTTTTTATTACTTTTACATCAATTGCAACAAATCGAGTTTGATATTTTATTAGAAATCAATGGAAGGATAAAACAGAAAAGTCTCAAAAATACACAGAAAACAAAAAAAGAGTGCGCGTAAGGTTCACACGCGATTGAAGTAAAACTTATTTGCTACTGTACAAGATGACATTTAAGTAAAAATAAATACATCATATAACAATTTTGAATAATGTTTTTGAATAATATGGTAACACTTATGATGCACACATTTATTAGTGTCAACCATTATACACATTTATATAATGATAAATTATAAATTATATACTTGTAATAACATTAAAAATAGTCAATTCAAATATGACATGATCGGTTTGTCATTGTAATTAGCATTTAAAATGAATTTATTAGAGAAATGAAGTAATTGCTTAATAAATTCTATTATATTCGTTCACACAGTGGATTATGTAAAACAACGCCTAAACTGTCTTTCCTAAAAAATATTTTCCATTTTAATAACTCCAAAGATTTATAGGAACTACGAATAATATAGAGATAATTTCTAATCAATAAACTTACGTTTAGTTCACGAAACAAATGTTTAATTTGTTTTATTATTTTCAAGGAACAGGGTAAAATATTTTTCTGATTCAGGCATTTTTTATTAAATCATGATTTGTACTACAATGTAACTTTAAAATGTTTATTTATTTATGCCGATTTCTTTGTCGATATCGGTACGCATACAACGACAGATCTCTATTCACATTCACGACGGCTAATCACAATCGACCCGTATAGAAATGATCTCATCGAGAGCGAATAACAAACAGTTCGGGCGTAACGGACTTCCGTTGCATTTGTACCGATTTACACCCTAGCTAGCAGCGCCTAAAGAAGTTTTACTTCAAAAAGAAAGTTAACAAAAAATTTTTTTAATAAAAATTATAATAGAAAACTGCTCGACTCTAGATTTAATTTATGGTCTTAAGTTTCACTTCCATTTTATTAGCTCTTATATTAATAAAAAATAAACAGGTGAGTTTGTTTATAAGGAATATTAGTTTACTGAAACTGTTACATTTTTTGCAATTGACATGTATTTGTGCAGTTGGAATATTTTATATAAAAAAATATTTAAATTATGAATTTTGCCAAGCATACAGTATGACCTGATTTAAATCATACTTCTATAAAAAAATAGTATTTTTTGGATTCCTATTTTTCTGTTCAATTATTGAATACAAATTGCTGACTAAAATTACAGAACGTGTCTTTGCTAGATTAGAACAGGATATTTGTGGAAAAGAGAGTTTATTTTTGTTTTCTAAATGAAATAATATTAAAATTTAATTATGATAAATTCTAAATCTTTATTTTGTTCTAGGCAAATATGTCGGAAGACATAGATCGCGTGGCAGAGATGTTCAAAGGGAAATGCATCTTTGTTTCAGGCGGAACTGGTTTTATGGGAAAGGTTCTGGTCGAAAAAATTTTAAGGTATTTACTATTTGCTACAATATATAAAATTCATACTTATTTGCTTTATAATTTCGCTACACCAAAAATTTAAAAATATAGAATTTACTCTTGAATTTTCTGCAAGAAAATCGCTATAATATGTAAATTCAAGGATTCGATTATAACTGCTGATCCAACTTTATATTCTATATATTAATTAAATAAGAATAATGTATCATACGAAATATCATTATTTTTATCAATCAAAAATATCATTATTTCAAATTTATTTTTGTGCCCCACCCTACCCTACGTCTCAATTACGAATTTTTTTTAAAACAAAAATTATTACAAAAATTCTATAGCATGTTGTATTGATTCAAGGCTCGTACCTGCAGTAATTACCGGTTATTAATCATTTACCGATTTGTATTTCGATCAGACCGTCTTGTTGAATGGCTTTTAAATCTTGTTCCACAATAAAAAAACTTTTGATGGCGTGACGTTGAAACCGAAAACACGTGATGTACGAATCAATTTTTTGAATTTTTTTGCGTTTTGAGGTCACAGACTCTTGAATTTATTATGTAAGACCGAGAAGAACGAACGATCCAGGAGACAAGTAGAACACGGCTAATACCGGTTATTTATGCAACTTTCTTCGTTGTTGAATTAGTTAACTATTTTTACATCCATATATATGTATATATATGTATATATATATATATATATATATATATATATATATATAATATATATATTTATACAATTTGACGTGGAATCAGGTAATAAAATTTTTAACAATTTGCATTCAACTTTGAAAACCTTTATTGTAGCAAATGTTTTGACACATATTTTGTCATAATCAGTTTGAAATCAGTTTCAATTTGAAAGAACATAAATAAAAAAAGACTAATGGGGCGATTCTGCCATAACAGAGCTCATAAAATAGCGTTGTCATGGCAATGCTCTCTTATGCTTTTCTTGGTAATAAAAAATATGAAAATGTCCATCTATTTGCTATGCGATCAGACGTATTTCACATATAAACAAGCAAGGAATAATGTTATGATAACAAAATTCTAGATGTGAGTTATCTTAAGATTATTCCTTGCTTGCTTATATGTGAATACGCCTGATCGCACGCCAAATAAATAGACATTTTCATAATTA